CTTTAAAAGGCTCATCCCAAAGTATGTGAAAAATTGAAATCCTTAATGGTGGAGTGGTCAGAAGAATTTCAAAAGGATCCTCAGTTTAGTCTAATATCTGCAACTATTAAATCTATGAAAGAAGAAGGAATTACTTTTCCTCCAGTGGGTTCTCAGGTGAGTGTTTCATTTAGAACCGTGGTCGACCCTATACGATTTTAAAGGTATGTATCTTATGTGAAAGCTAAGTGAAGTATGTCTTGGTGATCCTTTCCCACCTCTGTTCCCTAAGTGCCTGTCCAGCATAATGCCTTATATTTAGTAGACATTCTCATTTTTTTGTGTATTTCTTTTACATATTAGAACTTTGTGAAGTGAACCAGATATGAACAATGTATTTAATGCTACTTTAAGTCTGGAGTCATGCAAAAGTCATAGGTGTATGAGATAGCCAAGAAATTTGTGGTAAGCTTGAAAGGTACCTATACATGTGAAAAATAACTAATTTAAAGTTGTAGGTGACAAATAAGGGAAGAGGGGTACTAGATGCTGTCTATCTTAGCACCAGGGAGAAAGGTAACTAGATGGGGATGGTAAAGAAGGTAAAGAGGTAGAATTGTGAGACCTGAATGTTATGTTATTAGATAGAAAGGAGTGAAGAGGTCATGTGAGGAAAGGAATGAAATGAACAAATTCATGGAACTGAGAAAGGTCAAGGTTTGTTGATTGAAAAGTGAACAATGAACGGTTTATGTATAAGATGGGTGAAACTATAAGACTGTAAATTAATTTGGGGAGAAAAAAAGATAACTTTATGTATCCTATTTTTTGGATTTTGCTTTTGTTGCCTTTTGCCCTCCAATTAATATTAGGATATGGGCTAAGGAAAGAGAGTAAGGGGAATACTATATTTACTTTTTATTTTACACTGTCGATTTAAGAGATAAAAAGATTCTTTTTTTCTTTTTTTAGACAGAATCTCACTATGTTGTTGCCCTTAGTAGAGTGCTGGGGAGTCAGCAGCTCACAGCAACCTCCCAAGTAGCTGGGACTACAGGCACCCACCACAACACCTAGCTATTTCTCGTTTTTTTGTTATTGTTGTCAGTGTTGTTTAACAGGCAGGTTCAAACCCGCCAGCCCTGGTGTATGTGGCCATCACCCTAACCACTGAGCTATGGGTGCTGAGCTCTAAAAAATTCTTTACAGCAATTAGAACTGAGGGTACAAGGTAGCTGTGTGCCCAACCTGTGGCCCATGGGCCAAATGCAGATTATTTGGCTTTTCTAAGATGTTGGATATCTTGAAAAATATACACAGAATTTTTATTTTTGCTCATCAGCTTTCTCTCTCTCTCTCTCTTTTTTTTTTTGCAGTTTTTGGCCAGGGCTGGGTTTGAACCCACCACCTTCGGCAAATGGTGCCTACTCTTTTGAGCCACAGGCGCCACCCAGCTCATCAGCTTTCATTAGTATTTTTGTATTTTTTTTTTTTTTTTTGAGACAGAGCCTCAAGCTGTCCCCCTGGGCAGAGCCAGTATTTTTGTATTTGATGTGTGGCCTAAGACAACTCTTATTATTCCACTGTCCAGCAGACAATAAAAAAGGTTGGACACCCCTGAAGAATTTGGAGATGAAGGTTTCATAAGTAATATCAAAAGCAAGCATTTTCCTATTCCATCCTTTCTGCAAATTTTCCTCAAAAATCAGTGTTAAAGGCTCGGCGCCTATAGCTCAACTGGCTAAGGCGCCAGCCACCTACACCTAAGGTGGCGGGTTCGAATCCCCAGCCTGGACCCGCCAAACAACAATGACGGCTGCAACCAAAAAATAGCCGGGCGTTGTGGCGGGCGCCTGTGGTCCCAGCTACTTGGGAGGCGGAGGCAGGAGACTCGCTTGAGCCCAGGAGTTGGAGGTTGCTGTGAGCTGTAATGCCACGGCACTCTACCCAGGGGGATAGCTTGAGGCTCTGTCTCAAAAAAAAAAAAAAAAATCTGTGTTAAAGAAGTGGTTGTTGGTGGTGACCCCCAACCATAAAATTATTTTTGTTGCTACTTCATAACTGTAATTTTGCTACTGTTAGGAATCCTAATGCAAATATCTGATATGCAGGAGACCCCCAAAGGGGTCGTGACCCATAGTTGAGAACTGCTGCTTTACAGAGATAATCACCAGGCATTCTGTAAGGGGCCAGATGGTAAATATTTTTAGCTTTGTGGGGTAGCAACGAAAATAATTTTATGGCTGGGGGTCACCACAACATGAGGAACTGTATTAAAGAGTCATGGCATTAGGAAGGTTGAGAACCACTGATCTAGGACAACTTTTACCTGCTATTAAGTTTAATTAAGCATGACTTCCCTTAGTCCTCTGTCATGCCTGAAAAGCCACCACCATCCAACCACCATGAATAAAGGGTTTCACTGTATTCACAGTGTCCTCCCTCTTCTCCTCTTCAGTAATTATCATGACCTCTGGCTGGTACTTCTCGTGTAGCTATACTCCTGTCACTGATTTTGGACAGTTGAGATCCAGATCATTTATTCATTCTGTAAATAGAGTAGAACCTCTGTAAGTTGACCACCCCAGCGACTGCGGCATATGAGGATGGTCTACATAAGGAACTTCCATTGGGTACATGTGCTACATTTCCAGTCTATGAAAATTAGGTTAACTTAAGGAGGTGGCCAATGTAGGGAGGTGGTCAACTCTGGAGGCCAAGTTCTGAGTCAGATAATTAAGCTAGTGTAAGCCCTTCATGAGTTTATAATGTTTTCTTGAAAATTTCTGATGTTTTATTTTAGTATTTGAAAACAACTACTTAAAATTACCACAAAGAACTTCACTTTTAAATGAAACTTGGTTTTATGAGTATTTTTTTAAATTAGCATCTGCAAGTAATTATAGAGCTTGTGTTTTGTTTGAAAGATAGTTGTGTTCATTTTACCCTCACATTTACAGACTGCCTCAGCTGCTACCAAGAATGGTACGTCACTGAACAAAAACAAAGAAGATGAAGATATAGCTAAAGGTAAATGATCAAGCACATGTAATTTAGTGTTGCTTAAAATAGCCTTGCTGGAACATTTTACTGAAATAAAAGTGATAAAAACTGGATATACCTTTAGTTTTACCTCAAATCTAAAAAAATAGTAGGGTCTGAAAGGTTAGGAAAGCAATTGACATACTACTAAAAGATGAATTTAAATCATTATCCTTTTCAGTAATATGTAGTTAATGTCCTACCTTTGGAGAGATTACATTTCACCTTTTCTTTAATGCCAAAGTTATGAGTCAAGCACAGAAATGTGTTCATGGCTTGTCCTATATGGAAAGCTACCCATATTATAATGTCACAATCTGTTTGCTATAAAAATAATAGCTGTTGTATATGACAGAATGTGATAGTAAGGAATGAGCAAAAATTTATTTTAAAAAATGTCATTACTTGCCCCACCCTGCCCCCATAATGGTTATTTGTGTAGCAGTTAATTGGACAAATAAAATAGTCATTTGACTTATTCTTCTATTGCATCTAATATTTATTTTTAAACTTTTTAAAAAATTGAAGTTAATTTGGGCTTTCTTTTTGCATTTTAATTTTTGAAACTAGCTATTGAATTATCACTGCAAGAGCAGAAACAGCAACACACAGAAACAAAATCCTTATATCCATCCGCAGAAATTCAGTTAAATAATAAGGTTGCTCGGAAAGTGAGAGCTTTATATGATTTTGAAGCTGTTGAGGACAATGAACTCACCTTCAAACATGGTGAAATTATTATTGTTTTGGATGACAGGTATGTTTTACTTTTTTATTTATGGAGTATTCTGAAGTTTTAAAGTGCATCTTCAACCTTTAGTGCATTTTAATCATAATAGAATCTTTCATATCTAATTGTTTTCTGAAATAAAGGTTAGACTAGATAATGTGTCTTTCTTTTACCAAATTTGATAGTAAAGTATCCTTTATATCTTGAAGATGTATTAAATAATATTGATAACCATAATTGGGAAACATATAAATATTCAGTTATCTCAATTTACCTTGGTGTTTTTATAAACAAAAATTACAGTAAAAATTTAGGAAGAAATTAAATTTCTTCACTAAATTGCTTTGATTGAAGCAACCAGAGCCATGCTTGTCTTCTCCCCAATTCTTTTTTTGTTTGTTTGTTTAGCAGGCCCGGGCTGGGTTCGAATCCACCAGCCTCAGTACATGTGGCTGGCACCCTAACCCCTGAACAACAGGCCCTGAGCCTAATTCTTTTTTTTTGAAAATCAGGTCTCCCTCTGTCATGTAGAGTGGAGTATTGTAGCTTCAAACTCATAGGCCCAAGCTATCCTCCTGCCTCAGCTACCCAAGTATCTGGGCCTATAGGTGGGCACCATCATGCCTCCCTAATTAAAAAAA